ACTACGTGACAAATAATTTCATATAAAGTAGTTGAGTGTCGCCAAAGGAATATAAATATAGCCTATATATAAATGTGTATGCTTTCCCTTGGCGACACTCATTTACGAGTACCCTTTATGTCCTGCAAATCCGGACCTTCGATCAAAATTTAGGTCATTCGATATTACAGACGCTTTTATTTACGTTTTGTATAAAAAAATAATCTTACATATAAAATTTTGTTCGGAAAAATTTTTACTTAGAGCACGAAAGCAGGTTATCATAGTAAAGTTTTGTGTTAGCTACGATTTGTTTCTTGTTACATAAAAATCAATATTTTATTGGTTCCGACCTATACGGAGGGGTCCGGGTTTGCAGGCATTGTTAAAATTTGGAAAATGTTCTCTATTTGAGAAAATTTAACAAATCTTTTAATATCCAAAAAAATTTAACTTTCTAATACTGAGTAAGTTAAAAATTTTTGAGCACATTAAGAATTCAGAAAATTCTTTTTTGAGAACATAAAATAAAATTCGAATTTTAAACATAATTCGAATAGTTTTGCTAGTTATTATATAACGCACCGTTCTTTATATTTTTAATATGGAAACTTCATTAATCAAATTTTTACAATGCTGATTTTAAACAATATCAGAAACAAGTCATCAAAATCTGCATATTTTTTATAATTAATAATAGAAACATGTGTTGCTACTAGGGATGTTAAGTAGTTCAGTGAACTGGCATAATCGAGGATCGACTATCACGTGATCGGGGCATTTTCTGACATGACTAGTCTACTACTGTAAAGTAGTTTTACTCTATATGGTTATTATTGTCTTTAGCAATTACTATTATTGCCTTTAGTAATTATTATTATTGTCTTTAGCAATTATTATTATTGCCTTTAGCAATTATTATTATTGTCTTTAGCAATTACTATTATTGTCTTTAGCAATTACTATTATACTAGGCTTCTTAAATTTTTTTATTTTATTAATTTAGTAGACAAATAAAGACTAGTAAAAAAATATTTATTAAATAAGCTATAACTAACATGATACATATTTAATTTGTTTCATTAACGTTAAGCGCAAAATTTATTAAAAAATTATTATTTAAAGTACGTACGTACGTATTTCAAAGCTAAGGCGTGTACGCCAATTCGCGTTTTATAAAAAAAAAAAAACAAAAAAACATGCCATTGCAGATGCCAATGAAACAAATTTCAGTACATTTGCAATTATGCGATCGCGTCGCGTTTAAATGATATTTTATTGGTTTTAATAGCGGACTCACGACGTATTATACCTAAAGTACCTCGTAGAATTCACATAGTAATTGTCGAAATATAAGTAATCCTTTAATAAATGGCCGAAACTAATTTGTCGAAATATAATTAATAAAAACATTTGTCTAAATTCGCTTCAAACTTCAGCTAGAAAACTTTAAATTATACCCAACCGAAGTTTTCAACAAAAAAAAATTTCAAACATTAACTCTTAAGTATTGATTTATGAATGAGATTAAAGCTTCCCACTTATTGCGGATGGATCTAGTTAGGTATCATTAACTACATAGTACAGTAAGAAACTAGACATAAAAGTTAACCTATATCGATCAGAGATACTGTATAAACATAATTGTGCTCTTTGCCTATATACATTATTGTCCAAAATGCCACACGAATCCTGATAGGTGGTGCAATTATAATATATAGAGTAGTAATAAAATCAGTCGCTGCCCCCTCCCCACCCTCCTACGCACACCGTTAGCACAATAATTGGGCAAAAATCTTTCCCACAACCAATATATATACATCGTATATAGCCAAACTTAAATCTAGTAGAGGCCAAGTAGCCCACTCTAGTAGAGTTTTGGGCCGAGAACAAATTAGTCCTAGCTGTAGGTCCCTGTAGTAATTCATGTAACCCATTTAAACAATGTAATGCAATAAAGACCGAGGCCAGGCCTCACTCTTATAAAATAAAATAAAATAAAATCAGTCGCTTGTTGTGGTGCAATAAAATATTTAAAACATCACACTATATCTAACTTAATTATTAGAAAAATGTGGACTAAAGTAACGAAACGAGTAAGATAAGTAATGATTATTTCTTTCCAAGTCAATTAAAAATTCACTGAAATTAAAACCAGAATAATTTATAGGTATTAATTACTCAATGGTTCATTTTATCAAATAGCTCAAAAATAAATGTTGTAATACTTGTTTATCCACTTTTATTATATAGTAATAATAATACATTAATACACAGTATATTTATCATAAATACTAGAAATCAAAAAAGCTAACGGAATCTGAAGTGTCTTCAATAAACTAAAGGGAGAACAATATGCTAATATTCCGAAACAAATATTAAAATAAGTAATTTCTGACATTTGATACGCCCATATTAACATTATAAATACGAACGAAAGAAATAAGTTATCTGGTTTAAATAATGAATTTAATCCATGAAAAATAAAATAATATTTTGTTAAAATGATTTGGTTAATTTAATTATAACACACAAATATAGTAATATGCTATTTAATAAGTTACCTATTAGTGATAACGGACGTATATCAGTTTTTGTAACCCAAGTAAAAGTATCTATATCCAATATATACAAGTTTTGGTTGGTTGATTTTGGCCATCTTCTAGTATTTGTAAAATTTCCTAAAATTGATCAACAAATAAAATTTATAAAATTATTTGATTCTGTTTCTCTTGTTATACGGCATAATCATGTTTATGATTTAAAAACTGCCGAACAACACCAACACTGGCAAGCAACGACAAATACTGATAATTTGTTGACAGTCCGTTGCAGACCACGTATCATTCAATCATTTAATCACTTATCTGTTCGATCCAAATTACCGTTATTCGTTGCGTTGTTGCTTATCACTGTTGTTTTATATGACAAACGACTTGTTTACACTTACCAAAAGAAACAATCATAAAGTTTTCATGCAATACAGCAGAATGATAAATAAGTTTTGGTGCTGAATAAGATGTTGTTCCCACAGTTGGAGCAACCCATTTGTATGATTTTCTATATTTTTTTAGAACAAAAAGTTGTGGATAAGCTGTAGTGTGTAGTTCTCCTTTTCCTCCACCATAAATTACTATGTTTCCATCCGGAGCTACATTTGAAAGATAATTTAGCGAATTAGTGATATTGATTAATGTCAAGATAATTTAAAATATTTAAAATGAAAAGTTATATATACTTAAGACGGCTGTGTGGCCATGACGTCTATCAATTTTTAATGTGCTGCTGATTTCCTTATGAATAGTAATATTATTGGCGAATAAATTAAATATTCTGGTATTCGACGTACATCTCTTGTTGCAACTTACCATTGACGTCCATTCTCCGGCATTAGTGTCATAAATTCGAATCTACAGACAAGAATTAAATACAATTATATATATTTTTTTAAATTTAAAAAAGATGAAAAAAAGTTGTTGTTTTTTTTCTTTCTAATTAAATTACCTCATAAATGTTCACATCTCCATCTTGAAATTCTCGGCCACCAATATAAAATATTTGTCCTATTTATTAGGGAAACTCGATCATTAATTTTGAGAAAATCCATTTTAAGGACATTTATCAATAGTAGTAATAATAATTAACCGGAAGGCATCATCGTAGCGGTATAACCAAGCCTCGGTTTTGGTGCAAAAATTGAAGAACTTTTCAACTTCCACTCATACCCAATAGTATCTAACAGATAAACTACGTAATACGATGTATATTTATCAGGTCCGTATAATTCATTATCTAAATCCGCAAAAACATAAATTTTTCCAGAAATGTGAGGTACAGTTTGTTGTTGTCTACTAATATCTACCGGAATAGTTTTGATATAAGATATATTTCCACTAAGTGAATCAAGCTTGTAGACCAATGTGACTTCCGTGTTAGCTGGTTTATTTATGGATTTTCCAAATAAGTAGCAACTTAATGAATTGGGTTTGAATTGTACCGCCGAAACCCAGGAAACTCCTGAAGGAGGTTGTGCTTCTTCAGGAATCTTTTTCCAGGTTTGTAAAGAAGCATCAATATCTCGGTTAAAAAATCGATAAAACGTTTGTGTGCTAATTTCAGTATTAATAGGAGATGAACTATCATTATTAGATCTGCCGCCTAGAATATATAGGTTTCTATAATCACTATTTATATCAGTGGATAAAGTAAGTAATGATGTATGCGAATATCGAAGAGGCGGTGTGTATGGAAAAAAAAACGAATGAAAAAAATCGAAACCGTTTAGTACGATTATAATTCCGAGCATCCGAAAGAGTAACCAAAAATGTCTTTTAGATGTTAATGATCCCATATCAATGTTTTTCATCATGTGAGATTGCCAGAAAAATAATCAACTTCGATTTTTAATTATTTCCGTTAAGTTTAAATGCTAGTTACATCTATTTATATCAATCGGTAAAAGTAGGTGTCACATAAACAACAAATATAAAGATTACACGTAAGATCGTAAGATCGACAATAATCTCCTAATTTTATCAATGTTTCACTAAATCGTTTCGTCTTGATGCTATGAACTGGTTATTCGAGTGTTGCCAAGGAATAACTTTAATACTCAGCCTTGTCCGAACAAAATTTTGGGGTGTTACAGACGGAAAATTGGTTATAACGATAACGATAACGATAAGCAAAGCTGGATTACTTATAAAGTATCCAACCCTTTAATAAATTTTAATACATACAGATGTTTTTTTAACACCTGGGTAGATTGTTTTTATATTGAAAACAGAAAACGTTTTATAGTATAAAAAATTAAAAAACAATTTATAAAAAAATTTAAAATAGTTTATTATAAGTGAGGATATGCGCAAACTCGCGCAAGTAAAAAAATGCCGACCGTCTTTCATTCAGGTATAAACCAATTTAACCGACAAATTTTGGCCCGATTTAGTTAGGGTTGGCCTGTTTTATAATTAGTGTTTACTAGAGATTATCGGCGAATTTTACCAGAACCTTCAGATCAATAGTATAACTCGTGTACCAAGTAAGGAAGGATTTGTGAGAATAAACATCGATGGGAGCAATTCCTAATAATATTCAACAAGGAACTTTGTCTATTCTGCCAAAATATAAGAGAGAAAAGCTATGTTATAAAATTCTAACAAAATATCTTCGTGCAGTCTCAATTGATTAGTATAAAGAAGAATTACTGAATTCATTGACACTAGCAACAAAATAAAAATCACTGAATTCAATAATACCAGTATAAAAAAAATTAAGGAAAATCTTTAAACTTAATAACACCAATGACAAAGAAAGAAGTACTGAATTTAATATCAAAATAACAAAAAAAGCACTAATTTAATGATGATTAAGAAAGAAATACTGTACTTAATGATCTTAATAACAAAAACAACAAAAGCACTATGTAAATGATAAAATAAATAAAAAGTATAAAACTATTATTTAAAGAAAAAAAATAGATATTAGTACTAATTAAAATAAAAACAAAAAAATAACAAAAATACAAATCTGGTTTGTATAATTTAGTAATTATGGATGTTCTGTAGAATAGGTGGGCAATATAAAAAATAAGCTTCTTTAATGATTAGTAATCATTAATTTTTTAATAGCGGAGTTGTGGAGTTTGCGGAGTTTGCCCACCTATTCTATAGAACATCATATTATTACTTTATTATTTTAAAATTTATTTTCTGTTTTTATTTATTTATTTATTTTATTTTTAATTTTTTTAAATTATTTTTTATTTTACTTTTTAATTTTTTTTTTATTTAAGTGATCCTTCCTTTTATAAATTGGCAACAGATTACAAATAGATATCTCAGTTAACTAAAACCTACATTATCTGTCATAAATTGTTTTATGTCTGTTCAAATAAAGAATCTCTCAATCTGTTATATTATTACAGTATAATCTTAACAAACCAGGATTAAGCATTAGAGTATGACCCAGGAGTGACCTACCTAAGTAAATATTTTTCTCCACTAGGATTCTCAACTTTCTGAGAATTTGAACATCAGTATTACTGGATGGATTTTACTATTCTTGACAGAATCACTGCTTTATAATAGAGTGTTGCCAATCTGATAACATTTTTTTATAGAAAAGTAAAAAAAAAAAAAGAAGGATATGTAGAATAAGAAGATAAATAAAAACAAATATACAAAGAAAATAACAAATTAAAAGAAGTTAAAATTGGGCTTCTTCTTTTCCCTTCTATAACTAATGGTAGTTAGTCTTAAATTAGTTAATAAATAAAAAACTAAGAGGTGATTTGCTACATTTAGGTGGTTATACAAAATATAATAGATAGTTTAAAATTAATATTATCTAGATACAAATCTATAACTAATCTTATCATGTATATAGCAAATTCAAAATAAAAATAAAAAATAAAGAAGTTAAAAAACTAATCTAAAATCTAAGAGAATTTGTTTACAGATATAAAACCTGCTAACCAGGTAAAAAAACTATCTACATGGTTGTAAAAATCTATACATAGAGCTATCTGACATAAAAACAAACTAAAATACACTTTAACCTGTGCTAAGAATTAAAAATTATATGCTTATAACTTCAGAATATTGTATATTTCATATAGTTGTTCTAGTTACAACTCTCATATAAAATCTAACTTGAGTTTTAGAACATTTAATCTTAAAGTTTTAACATATAATTGTCAGTTTTAATTTCAGCCTTAAAACTTCCTTCTTATATATATTTTATTGTTTTCTTATTTATCATATCACAACTCGAGAATTTCTAAAAATGAAAGAAGTAAATAATGCCAATCTCTTGCTGACCTTTTGGAAGGAGGTAGCTAAATTTCTCACTTTTTGTCAAAAATTTGAAAAAAAAAAGTAGCAAGAGAATATTAATGTTTTGTGAAGTTTAACTATAGTAAGTACTTTCTAGATTGTTTCTTGTTCTTCTTTCTTTTACTATCTAAAATTTTTTTTTTATTTAATTGCTACCAGAATAACTCTTCTGACTTGGATGCCAATATAGAAGAGACTTTACTAAAGAGGAAAAAAGACTTGACCCAGCCTAAAAACTGCTTCTCTAACATTTGCTCTTCAATATATCATATTAAAGACTTCATTAACAGTAACTAAAAGAAAAAATAAGATAGTTTTAGATGTCAAACTTTAAATTTTTCAATTTGAGTTGGTTGAGAATAGTTGGTTTAAGTGAATATCAAGAAAAGTTGCCTAGAAAATGAAATTTTTATTTTACTTTTTATTTATTTTTTGTTTTTTGTTTATTTTTTTAATTTTATTTTAATTTTATATTTTATTTATTTATTTATTTTTTTATTTTTATTATTTATTTTTTTTATTTTTAATTTTTTTTTATACTAATTTTTTTTAAGATATAACTTCAAAATTATAATTTTTAAATCTATTTTTATATAAGTTTAAGTCCTATAGCTTAGCAGTTAAGCTTTCAAACTCTATAGACTAGATCATTAATTCAAGTCAGACTGAAAGCAAATTTTAATAAAGTTCACTTCTGTAATCAATGAAAACTATATAAATTGAATGCAAAGCTTTGTAGAAAGTTTAAGTATAGTACAAAACCAAAATAAGAAGTTTTCAAAAAAAGACCAAGTTGTAAAGCATAGACACGATATATAATAATGACATTACAGAAAGTTTGGTTAATGTATAAGTCTTCTATAACACTATCTATATACTAGCTATTTAGACAATACCAATATTTCTGTACCCAACTTGTAGAGTATTTATTTAAAAGAATAATCAGTTGATTATATAAATAATTTCTAAACTGTGTTATAGATATAAGAATTATTTGAATAGTAATACAATAATAACTAAAACTGGAGTAGTGAGAGAAGTGGTAATATATGACTATGGGTTATAGTAAAAAATTATACTTTAATTAGAATTGAAAGCATCTCTAACATCAGTAGAATGATTATAAAATGCTACTTAGCATAGAAAATATAATATATTTCTATACATCTAAAAATACTAATTTAGAGTTTTAATCACACCTATATAGAAGCCTATAATAAAAAAAGTTAGAATTTACTAACAGAAATATCACACTAACTAGAAATAGCTAAAGTAATATAGCTTATCACTTAAATAATTTTGTAGTATTAAACTAGTTTTTAATAAGATAAGCTATTAAAGCAAATTATAAAAGCTAATGGCTAAAAATATATAGTCTTATGTTGCTTAAACAATTTAAAGAATTTTTATGAATCAAGATTCTGATAAACATCATATAAAAAAGTACTTAAGGGGTAATAAAAATATATATTATATTAGATAACTGGAGAATACTTAAACCTGAAGAAGACAAACTATTAGTAACAGCAGAGTTTGACTTAAAATATGAGATTAGTATACCTGAAGAAATAAATAAGAGGTCTGTAGTATTTATAGAATATTTGAATTGTATAAATCCTTAGCTTAATATATAATATCAATGCTTCTTATATAAAACTGTAATAATAGCAGATACTTGGCTTAAAAAATATATACAAGAGGTTACCTATAAAAATATATACTAATACAAAGTATCTAATAATATATATATTAAATTAGAAGATTATTAAAAACCAAATACCCAAATGAACCAATTTGAAAGTAACTAAGATTTGATAATAAGATATGAGATGAATGTATTGGGTAACTTAAAGTAGTCTGAACACTAAATTTAGGTTATACATGTTAACAAAATTATTTTAAGTTTTAGGATACAAAATTAAAATTTGAAGATAAAATTGTTTTTAATCTATTTTACTTAAAAGACAAAATTTTTTGACATTTTTTTTGAAAAGATAAAATTATAAAGAATATAACTATCTAAATTAAATTTGCTCTTGTATATAAAAAATTCTAAATTGCTCTAATAAAAACAAAATAGAGGTTTTTAAAAATCTATTTTAGTGATATGTATAATTTAAGTATAACTTAATATATAGTGAAATTGTAGTATACTCTGATAGGTTTAGGTTGTAGATAATAGTTGTTTATACTTGTGTTCTTAAGACAGATATATAGTTATATAGTTATAAAGCAATTATTATTAAATATCTAATAAAAACCTCACTTTAATACTGAAAAATATCTATTTTTATTAAAATTATTAATTTTAAAATATTATTATTCTGGAAAACCAGACAGGACCAAAGTGTTTGGCAAGGCACTATACCAACCAGGCTGTCAGATGACCAAAGGAAGAGTTCTGCTCTTTCAGGCCATCGGATTGGGAGTTTGGGTTTTCAGAGATATAGAAGCGAGTTCGTAAAGTAGG